AATTTTATGGACATTCAGCATAAAACATGATTTGAATTTCAATCTTTTCCCAGGACAGCAACATGCAGGACGATACTCTCAAATACTACTGGGCTATACCAAAAACCAGCCCTCTCAGTTGCCTACATGACCACGGAGGTAAATAACTGATATTCTAGGGTGTACTACTTTGGAAAACTATGATGTTCAGTAAGGCAAGTGGATTAAACACATTTAACAATATTTTCAGATTAATGGTGGGTTTATCAGAAAATAATGTCATTAAAAAAAAGAAAATGTCATTGTTAAGTCTAGGAACGTGTGTATTTGACAAGAGCTTAATACTCAGATATAGTAATGAAGTCCTACAATTCAACAAAAAGAAACAGATAACCTAATCAGAATTGGACAGAATAGGCATTTTTCCGAAGAAGATAAAACATACAGCCAATAAACATAAATGTAGGTTCAACATCACTAATCATTAGAGAAATGTAAATCCAAAACAAGGCAATACCCCTTGCACTAATTAGGATGGGTACTATAAAAACTAAAAAAAAAAATTTTAAACAGGAAATGATTGTTGGCAAGAATGTGGAGAAAATGAAACCCTTGCACAACATCAGTAGAAATATAAACTGCCATGAAAAACAGAAAGGTAGTTTCTTGAAAAATTAAAAATAGAATTATTTTAATTCAAGGTATTTACTTCAAAAGAATTAAAAATAGGGCTTCAGGGAGATTACCTGCACACCCATGTTCATAGCAGTATTATTCACAATAGCTAAAAAAAGCTGAAACAATACAAATGTCTACCCATGGATGAATGAATAAACAAAATGTAGTATATAAATATAAAGGACTATTATTAAGCCTTGAAAAGGAAGGAAATTCTGGGTTGGAAGTATAGCTTAGTGATATGGGTGCACACAGCATGCACAAGGCCCTGGGTTTGAGCCCTACTACCACCACCAAAAAAAAAAGGATATTCTGACACATGTTACCACATGGATAAACCTTGAGGACATCATGCTAAGTGAAATAAGACAGTCACGAAAATACAAATACTGTATGATTCCACTTACATGAGGTACCTAGAGTAGTCAAATTCATAGAGATAGTAGATGATGGTTGTCAGGGTCTAGAGGAAAGGGGGAATAGGGAGTGTTATTTAATGGATATAGAGTTTCAGTTTTGCTAGATGAAGATTCCTGGAAATCAGCTATGAAACAATATGAATGTATTTAAAGCTACTGAGCTGTACACTTTTAAAAATGGTTAAAATGGTAAATGTTATGTGTATGTACAATAAAAAAGTTCTTAAAACGATCTGATTATAGCACTTTATTTTCTATCAGTAAATTGTATAAAAAGAAAAAACTATAATTTTTATATTTCTTAAAGATTACTTATTTTAAATAATTTTTATTTACTAACAAAATATTAAGAAATAAAATCCAACAATGTATAAAAAAGAATTATACACCATGACCAAGTAGAATTATCCCAGTTATGCAAGACTGGTTCAACATTTGATAATCAATTATTGTAACCATCACATCAACAGAATAAAGAAAAAAAATCACACAAATTTATTAATAGGTAAAGAAAAAGTCTTCCACAAAATCAAACACCAATTAATCATAAAGAAAACTTCAGTATACGAGGAATGGAAGGGAAATTTCCTCACCTTGATACAGAACAACTATCAAAAAAACCTCTTTAATGCACAATGATAAAGAATATCTACATCCTACGTAATGGTAAGAAACATGATGCTTTCCTACTAAGATAAGGAATAATGTGCAAGGATACCTTCCCTTTCACAAATTGCTCTCTACATTGTACTCGAAGTCCTAGTTAATGCAATTAAACAAAAAAAGAAGAGGTACAAAAAATTCAAGAATATATATATTTCATATATATATGTACATGAAAACACAATGTTTACTAAGGCAGTTAAGACTACTAGACAAATAAATATTAGCCTTAAGCATCTTTGTTCTTAAATCTTTTGGATACTGCTTTTTTTCTGCCTGATATTGCCAGGCAAGTTACTGACAACAACAAAACCCAATGTAGCTCAGCACACTCCTGGAATCCGAGCCACGCAGAAGTTAAGGCAGGAAGATCACAAAATCAAAGTTAGCCTGGTGAGGGCCACAGATTTAGCACAATGGTGCCACCGCCTGCCTCACAACTGCAAGGTCCCGAGTTCAATCCCCAGTACCAAAATAATAATAATAATAAAAAAATTTTAAAAAGCTAGCCTGGAGTTGCCTCATAATAAGGGATGGGGATATAGCTCAGTGGCAAAGTGCTTGTCTAGCATGTGAAAGGCCCTGGGTTCAATTTCCACAACTACCAAAAAAAATGTAAAAGATACAAAATTATCTTTTTATATCTAGAGAAAGTTTCTCATATTGGTAATAGTATAGGGCCTGCCAATCTAAAAATATAACCTTTCACTCTGTAGTGAGGGTGCTTATTTCCTATAAACCCTCCTTTTGAGAACATGTACAGAAGGAGAGAGAAAGATGTATCCACAGGGAAGAGGGTTAAGGCTGGGGATCCTGCTCAGAAAGGATTCCCAGGGATCCTTGTGCTAGGGTCAGAACTTCAGAATGACCAGCTTGGTCTACTTTCTGTTACAATGCTTATCAAAGAGCAGCAGCACTGCAACCTCTGTAGCCCTGATTTTGTACAACCATTAATCTTGGCCTAGTGCTGCTCACTGAGGCTCCAACTGACTATAATACAGTAGTGGTTGGCATTCACATAATTGTCTAGACACTTCATGCCCAGCTGCTGTCATTTTTCTTTGTCCCCCTCTTAGCTTTTTCAAAGTACTGGGAGAGCTCCTACATGACTTCAACATAGTTCAGGTTGAGTTCTACCTCTAACTTTGACTTGGTTCCCACCTCCTTCTCTTTGAAAAAAGTTGTCTTTTCTTGTGGCTGCTGGATCCTACTGCTGCCGTGTGGATGCTGCCCGGACCTTCTGTAACACACGTGGACCTCACTGGGAGCCCTGGGAGGCTAGGTGAAAAAGGACTGACACTATCTGTCTCCTTATAAAAGCCTCAGGGGAGATATGCACAAAGGAAGTACCATGGAGAATCGAGGTAGTGTTCAATGGCCTTCCCATATGATTCTGGTGGTTTCACACCCAAGCCATGGCTGGACAATGTTGCCTGTATCTTGCATATACAAGAAGAGAACACCAAGACTCAGTAGATTTTGACGTTGATGCCTTTGCTGCCATCTCTGATTGTAAAAGTGCAAATGGGCACTGAGACTCCTGGACTTGTGGGCATTTTGCAGATCCTGAGCTATGGGCAAGCAGGTGTTTACTTTTCAGTGAAAAGACAGATATTAAAGTGGGGTAAAGCTTCTGGATATTGATTCTGAATACAAATATTTTTCTCTCTGCTTTTATTTCCAAGGAAATTCACGTGCCCCTTCTCTAGTAACCTTATAAAATATATTCTTTTGTATCTGAATCTAACCCTTGCTTTTCTTTGGTTCAATTTATGAATCTTTTTATTCTTAATCCCATTACATAAGCATTTCTCAACTCGGCAAAGACAAGTAATGTATAAATGAATGTATAAATAAATGAATGAATGAATGCCTAACGACTACAAAAAATTTGACACAAAAGGGCAAACAGTTGTGTACTACGGTAGCACATGTCTGCAGTCTCAATTACTTGGGAAGCTGAGGCAGGAGGCTCTTGAGTTCAATGCCAGCCTGGGCAACACAGCTAGACCCAATCTCAAAAAACAAATAAAAAAGTATTAATCAGGATCCTTCAACACAAAACATCTAACAAGTATACTCATGTAAAAGAAGACAGTACATCTGATAACTAAAATCTAGGGTTTGAATAGATTTCTATTCCTAAATGTATTAATATGTTCAGGTTTACCAAAAAGCAAATAATATTGGTCCATTTAATTTTTATCACTGGTTTAATTCAGCAACTCTTAAAAGTATAATCCAGGAACCCCTGGAGACTTGAGGCTCAGGAAGGGCATATGGTAAAAACTATGTTTTTTCATAAGCATTATTTACCATTCTCTTATTCTCTCCCAAGTGTACAGTGTACATTATGAGCCTACCAAATATATGACATCATCGGGCTGATGGTAACAGGATGTCCACTTCATATTCTCCTGTTCTCAACATTCTGTTTTAACTTGTGATATGGTAAATACTGACAAATATAAATGAAATACTAAAACAAAAGCTCTCTGGGTGCTCAGGAAGTTTTCAGAGCTACAAAGAGGCTTTGAGAGCAAAATAAAGAACAAACCTGCTGTTTTCAAATCAAGTCCATTTTCTAGAGGTTTCAAAAGCAGAAAGCAAATTTTTAAAGTTGATAATTTCTGAAATTCATGACGATATATGATATTATTCTTTATAAAAAATATAAAATACAGAATTGTAAAATGAACTTAAAGGATAACAAAAACAACAGAATCAAGAAAATTTTACTGGAAGAACCGTGAAAATATGAGCAATTAAGTAATAAGCAACTGGTTAAAAACAGTATGACACTTTGATGAAACACTACTTTAAAAACCTAAGAGGAAGTCAGGCATGGGGGCACAAGCCTTTATCCCAGCCCTGTGGGGAGCTGAGGCAGGCAGATTACAAATTTAAGCCCAGCCTGGGCAATTTAGCAACTTAGTGTATGTAACCCTGCCTCAGAACAAAAAATTTTTAAAAGGCAGTGCAAAGGACGTGGGTTCAGTCCCCAGTGCCACCCCCTTACCCCCACCAAAAAATTAAGAGGAAACGACCTTATACATCACTTAATTAAAAATCTCTTGCAGCTTTTTCTTCTGCAAAGACTCAACTATGAAAATAGCAAATATTTCTTTTAATTTGTTTTTTTTAGGAAATAAAAGCTCTAAAGAAAGTTTCCAAGTGAACGAAACAGTTGTTGGAAAAAGGGTAATTTTAAAGAATACTTCCTTTATGCATTTAATATTCTTTTTCGAAAGGGAAATATACCTGAAAATAGCTGGGTTGCAGACATGCTTTGGATCCAGTGCCTCTCCCTGTATGAACTCATAGCACAGTCCATTATTGAAGGTACAGTAGAGTTGCGGTGCACAGCCGTGAGCTTGCAACACTCTAAAACTCTTCACCTCTTCATCTCGATCGACTAACAACTCAGTCTTATTGCCATAAATTCTCACCAGGACAACGTCTTCCATGGTATTACCCACATAACAGCCAATAAGTTTATTAGTGATTCCATCTGTGAAGAGCTGTCAGGAAAAGAAAAAATGAGGAAAACAGCAATTAAATATTGTTAAAGAAAAGAAAAAGAGATAACATGAAGATAGTGAGCAAAATACTAACTCAAGCAAAACATCAGTGGTTCACTACTAGAGCAGATGCTTAGCATATGTGAGATTCTGTGTTCAATTTCCAGAACCCAGGGAGAAAAAAACAACTTTTTTTTTTTGGTACCAGGGTTCGAACTTGGGTCCCTGCACTTGCAAGGCAGGCGGTGGAACCACTGAGCTAAATCCCCAACCCAACCAACTTCTTAACATAAAAGAATCTTTGGAAGGCTGGAGATGTAGCTCAAAAGCACAGTGCTTATTTAGCATGCACAAGATCCTGCGTTGGATCCTCAGCACCATAAAAAAAGAGCCTTTGAATACAATTTTGTCTAACATATCTGTAATTTTAATTCTAGATTTAAGCAAGGAATACTAATTTTAACACATGGCCTTTAATTCCTATAACATCACATCTTCTTTGACCCAAATGTGTTGATTATTCATTTTGTCTCTAATATTTGCTCTATTCTAAGTCCACCTTGTAATGCAATTATTGTGTAATCTCTTCTTCATCCAACAGACTAAAATGTCCCTGAAGATGTGACAGTCATCTTCCTAGCATCATATATTACATATAGAAATTTTTAATTATACTCAAAGATTTAAATATAGATTTACATTATGGTACATTATGGAAAATCACCAACACAACAAAAAAAATCCCAACTTTATTAATTTTAAAGATTAAACATGCAGGGCCAGGGATTTAGCTCAGTGCTTCTGCCTCCTGCCTTGAAAGCGCAAGGTCCCGAGTTCGATCCCCAGTACCAAAAAAAAAAAATTAAATATGCATTAAACATTGTTTTAAGTACTTAAGTTCTAACAGTTTAAACTTACAGGAAGAACAGAAGTGGAGATTTCTGGGGTATTTTCTAAATGGAACTTTGGGAACTTTTTCAAAAGCTTTAAACCAAGTACATTAATCTTTTTTTTAATCTGAGCATAAAAAAGATTTAAAAAGCAATTGGGTGATTAGAAATACTAGCTTTCAAAATCTGGTCAAAAGTTGTCACTTTCATTTTCCTCTACACTAATTTGACATAACTTTTCTACTTACCCAGTTATAATTCACAACTTTTGGAAGCTCTCAAATGAAATGGGGTGGGGTGGGGGGTAGTGAAAGCGACACTGACATTTTTTCCACCACAATTAGGCAAGAATGGGGGGCGGGCCCAAAAGGTTCTAAGTACATACAGCTAGGTATTGTACCACACACCTATGATCCCAGAACTCCGGGAGGCTGAGGCAGGAAGAATTGAAGTTTAAGTCCCTCCTGAACAACTCAGTGACTTACTTAGCAAAACCCTGTTTCAAAATTAAAAGTTAAGGGCCGGGGATTTAGCTCAGCGGTTCCACCACCTGCCTCGCCAAGCACAAGGTCCTGAGTTCGATCCCCAGTACCAAAAAAAAAAGTTAAAAAGGGCTAGGGATGTAGCTCAGTGCAAAGCTCCTGTGTTCAAGCCCCAGTACCACACAAGGACACAAAAGTATCCACATTTAACTTGTGAGAAAAAGGATAAGCATTTCTTTCTCAATTAGACTTTTATGATATTAAATAGTATTTTTTTAAAAGCTTTACATCTTCAAAGGAAGTCTGCCCCCCACCCCAGCACTGGAAGTGAACCCAGAACTTTGCCAATACTAGACAAGCACTCTGCAACTGAACTGCATCCTAGCCCTTTTTATTTTATTTTGAGACATCACCTCACTCATTTTCCCAGGTTGGCATCAAACTTGAGATCCTCCTGCCTTTGCCATTGTGTCTCTATAGCATGCACCTCCAAGCCTGGCTCAGAGGAAGATTTGAAAGAAAGTATTAAAATTAATAAACATTAAATAGGTGTTTAAAGTGTTTATTATATACAGTACTTAGCTGTTATTCTTATTCACCTAATGCAGGTAAAACTGCATGAACCAATGTAAAGATACTTATTGTGAATATCTATGTTTTTTACATATACACAAACATACAAATACTGTTTTTCGCCCACATTTGCAAAAATACTGAATGGAAGCATATGTTGCCAAGAAGTATATACAAAAAAGTGAGATTCCAGGGCCGGGGATTTTAGCTCAGTGGTTTCACCGGCTGCTGCACAAGCACAAGGTCCTGAGTTAGATCCCCAGTACCAAAAAAAAAAAGTGAGATTCCCAACCTCCCCTTCAAAAAAAGCCAGGGGCAGTGGCAGGCACCTATAGTACTAGCTATTCAGGAAGCTCAGGGAGGAAGATTACTTGACCTCAAGGGTCCAAGGCATGCATGGCAAACAGCAAGACTTAGTCCAATCCATCAGTCAATAAATCTGTGTTGAAAAGCAGGTTGTTTTCATCACTATGCCATATGGATTCATACATGCTATTCTGTAACTTCTTCAGATATCAGATATAGATATTTTAATTATTATTCAAACATTGAGAGATATTTAACATTCTGAAATGTGTATTATGGATGTTTAGGATACTAAAATTCCAGAAATCATTATCTATATTTTCTGTCTTCACAGCAAATAGTAAGTACTTGATTAACAATAGAATCCAAAGTTATCAACATTAATGTCTTCATCTAATAAAAATTACATTCCCTAATTCTTGCTTATAATAACCTTTCCTTAATTGATCGTGTTTTAGGGCTGAAGGTACAGCTTAGTGATACGGTGCTTGCCTACTATGCACAAAGCCCTGAGTTCGATACTCGACATAAAATAAAACAAAGTTGAATATATTATATTGTACATTTATGTGTACATACAAAAACAGACATTTACAGACATATGGTGCTAGAGACAGTTGATGACTGAATACAGATTACTAAACATTTTATTAACATTTATAAGGATGACACAGGTACAACTCCAGTGATCCTAATTCTAACTAAGCCACGTATCTTTTTTTTTTTTGGTACTGGGGATCGAACTCAGAACCTTGCACTTGCGCAGCAGGCGGCAGAACCACTGAGCTAAATCCCCCGCCCTAAAACCACATATCTTACAATGAACTGACAATCACTTAGATTTAAAAAATAAACTATATGAATAATGCAACTCCACATTTATAAAAAATATTTTACTTAATAAGGTTAAAATATATCTACAGAGATAATCAAAAATACTACGTAGTTTAAATCTTACTTTTGTTTCTAAGTAATTTTCTTTTGGTTATGTATGTTTCCTTGCTTCTTTTTTTCTTAAATAAACTTGGTTTACACTTATAAAAAATTAAGAGGAAGAGAAAACAGCCCAAGTTAGGCATGGACCTGGCACTCCCAGCTAGGCTTTGAAGTCTAGCTGAATATGAACAATTTCACAGAAACATCATCAGATGAGGCCACTCTGTGACCATAAGGAATCAAGACAAAAAAAAAAAAAAAAACCCTATTCTTATAATAATGTTTGAATATAGAAAAAATATAAATTTTGTTATAATCACATAAAAACTACCAAACTTCCTCTACCCTGGACAAAATGAGTGACTGTAACTTCTTTCCTAGTCATAGCTTTGACCTTGCTTAATTCCTCCAGCCTTGTGGGTAAGATTAAAATACAGATAGGCCAGGGATTTAGCTCAGTGGTTTCTGCAGAGCAAGGGCAAGGACCCAAGTTCAATCCCTGATACCAAAAAAAAAAAAAAAAAAAAATGGGCCAGGGATGTAGCTCAGTGGTTTCACAGCCTCCTGCGCAAGCACAAGGACCCGAGTTTGACCCCAGTACCAAAAAAAAAACACATATCCACAAGCCACAGACTTCCCACTTCCTTCTGGACAGAACCCAATTCACAGAAAAACCCTGCTACTGTGAATCCTTCCTAACTAAATCAATAGACAAACCCAATTACTACATTAGGTCCTTCCTAGCACCCATTCTCGGAGATCCCTACCATTCTCCGTGGCAGAGTTCTCAGGGACCACAATGAATAATAAACCCAGCAGAGTCAGCCACAAGCTTGTTTCTATTTTTCTTTGCCTGAAGAACAATGACTTTAAAGACATACTGATAATGTTCTTTGATCTTGTATGATTCCCACCTCATATATAAAACACAAGTAACTCTGTGTGCTGAACCATCCAAAATATATGTTTTGTTTAGGGATAGAATCCAGGGCCTCACACAAGCTAGGCAAGCACTCTAACACTGAACTACACCCCACCATCCCTAAAATACACTATTAAAATGCATGAGACATACACTAGACATACATACTACATTAGATCTACAATAGGAATATAAACTCCACTTCACTGCACTGGGGATACAGAGCTCCTTTTAATAAGATCTATCCTGCACTGTTCAGAAGATGAGTACTCGAGTCTGACTCCCAGCTCTGCTACTTACAAACTGGGTAACCCTAGGCAAGTCACATAACCTCTGTGTGCTTCAATCTCCTCATAGACAAAAGCACTCAGAATACCACCATGCAACGTGAAAGCTCTCAAATGTGTCTAGCTATATATTTAAACTTTAACACAAAACAGTAAAGTAATTCATGATGTGATCATAAAACAGTGAATAAGACAAAAATCTATGTTAAAACAGTATTTCCAATATATTTCTCTCAAGGTAGCTTAAATCTACATTTTTAAAAATGTTAAATATAATCACATTGGGAAAATTCTTTTCATACCTAAAAAAGTAAAAGGCCTATAGTTTAGTCAGAAATGCCTTTCACTGTTATTCTTTCAAGAGAGCACTACTCTATATTTGGTTTTGTATCACCAGCTCTGTTGTTAAATTCTAAAATATGTGCTGTTCCTTAGTAAAGTTAGCTCCTAATCACTTTTAATCTTTAAATATTGACAATTTACAAATTCTAGGTAAATTAATAGTGGATTCTAAGTTTGTACTATGCTTCACTTTATCGCATGGATTTTAAAAATATATACGTCCAGGGCCGGGGATTCAGCTCAGTGGTTCCAGCACCTGCCT